CAACAATCAAAATGGCACTGCCTCACTACTCTATTAGAAGTGTAACATTTTCAAAAGTTCCTACAAGACTTGTCTATCTAAGTCCCATTTTCAAAAGTGACAGTTAGGCTTCTAAGTGCCTAAGGGGAAAAATTTCAAATGCTCTTAAGTGCCCAGGTCACTTATGAAAATGAGTCTCCTAAATCACTTTGGGTAAAATTTTCAAAAGCACCTAAGTCTCAGAGCACAAACCCTATGATTCTTTGATATTTAATTTAATTACCTTTCAACAGTAACTCTGCAATGAAACTGTACATTAGCAGTACTTTTGGGGTAAATTTTGTATCCAATGATGATGCCTTTACTTTTATTCAGATACATGAATCTGATGATTAAAGAAGGTGGATTGTACCCAGATTTTAATATCAACCAACTGTCCAGTTCCCAAAATTAATTAATTAGAAGAGACCCTCCTCTCCTGTTGATTTTGATGAGCAAAACATTTAGAACCAACCTCAAAAACAACGGATTCCATTAAAAAAAAAAACATGACATTTCAAACAAGGCCACCAAACATTCAGATGTTTTGTTCTTGTAACGTTTTCACTCTGGTTCTTAAATGTTTTTGGAGGTGGAAATAGGAAATATAACAACAAAAGAAAATAAATCCCTCAAGTGAAATTCATAGGGAAATGCATACATGCATAGGAAAATACTGCAGTACATCAGATATCAACAGGTGGTTAACTGTGAATGGCTGTTGACTTTGAATGGTGACCATTGTTTAGCAGCAGTATAGAAAATGTTGGTCCAAATCTTTGGTAAGATGAAGACCTGGTCCACTGCTCATCATTTGCCACTGCTGGGATCACTTTTGGCCATTTTTCAGAAAATAGAACTGCAAGGATTATGGCTGAGGGGCTGGGTTTGAGGGAAGAATTGTTGCTATTGTGATGTGACAGTAAAAACTGCTCTTTACTCAATGAAAACTGGAGACTGGGCATCATTACTGGGTGTGGAGGAAAGTGAGATCAAATTAAAATCTCTTTTGCCCTTACTGGTGGGAGTCTTGGGAACATTGGGGGTGGAGCATCACCATCTACCTGACCCAAGAGCCATCCTACTAGGATGAATAGCTCAGAGAAAGCTGACCGTTGGAAACCTGTTTCCTGGTGTATTTTACCACTGCCCTGAAATCATGGTTCTTGGCAAGCTTGTGCTCTAGAATGCAACACAAACAATAGCAGACTGGAACTCCATCCTACCCACTAGCTAGCAGACCACTCATTGATGGGACTGTAATGGACCAGTCTGACCCTGCTTCTAGGCAGGTACATTTCATAGGAGTGGGGCAGATGTTCCCTAATTCCCCTTACACCCCAGCCCAATCATAAAACAGAAGACAGGAGTTGGTCCACTTGCATGGTCAGTAGTGCATGCATCTTTAAGAGACCAATTAAGCAGGAGGACAATGAAGAGAAGCTGAGAAGGAAAGGGGAAAAAATGCAAAGTCAAATGACAATAGGCATATTGCTAATACAATACATTTTTTTAGATTTGTTAAAATGTTAAATTTTGCATTGGAAAATTTCACAAAGTGAAAATTACACTGTTTGGCCATTTTTAGCCAAGACCATTATTATAGCTTCCTGACTTGGTCGGGGAGGGGAAAGATGCATAATTCACTGCTATATCCCTTGTCAAGAGAAATGATGGGTGTTTTCCCTTACTAGTTGCTGGTGACCTTTAGAAGTTCACTTGTGGTAGGGTGATGGTGACTAGGGGCCTGATCTAGGAGGTGCTGAGCTCCCTTAGGAGTTTAGGAGTACCCTCAATTCCCACTTGAATCAATAAACATCAAGAGTGCTCAGAACCTTGCAGGATATATTGTATTAATTATTATTATTATTATTATTATTAATTATTATTATTAGAGCTAGTGCTTGCACTTCTACTAATAATAATTGCAATACCTAAAGGTGTTAAACAAGAATTGGAGCCAACTATGAACACATATTTTAAAAAAGGTAGTTCTTGCTTCTAAGAGCTTACAGTTGACGTCCTTGACATTGTAATTCACCTCACGTGTGCCACTCAGTATCCCACTGTAGTCAATGGGGCACACACACAGTGAATTACAGGACTGGGACTCAATCTGAAACCCCAGTTCTGCAAAACCATGCTTTACACTATGAATTGCGAGTAGTCCAATGGGATAGTTGTACAAGATAGCCCAAATAGGCATACTGAGTTGTCCATTAAAAGGTACTCATATGCATAAGTGTTTGCAGGATCAGGGCCTAAGGTACTGAGTACTTTGCAGACAGAGCTGTGACAAAACCATTTATTGTTGTAGCTGTCACTGTCCAGAGTTTTTGTTTTCTAATGAACACCTGTTGCAGTGCATGGACACCCTGTCCCCGTTGGGGCAGGGCAGGGTTGCAATACCACTGCTGTTACAGTCTCCTTGACAGCCTTTAGGCCGAAAGCAGCCAGAGTCAGGGCACTTCCAGCAGCCCTTGCATTCAGGGCAGCGCAGCCTAGTGGCTAGAGTTAATAGAACCACCCTCAGGTGCAGGGCAATATGGCCTAGCAGCCAGGGTCCATATAACAGCCCTCTGGTACAGAGTAATGCAGTCCAGTGGCTGGAGTCAATGTCATAGCCCCTAGGTGTGGGACAGTGACACCCAATGGCCAGTGTCAATATACCAGCCTTTGGGTACAGGACAGTGAGACCCAATAGCCAGAGTCAATATTACAGCTCCCAGGCACAGGGCATTAAGGCCCAATGGCCTGTATCTGGGGAGAAGAAAGGGGCTGCCAACAGGGGGGTGGTAGCCCAGGTAGGGAGGCCCAGGCCCACCCAACTCCACCGGCCTCAACCCAGGGCCCTGACAGAGGTGGAGTGGTGCACCACTGGATCAGCAGGAACTCCCACTTCAACCAAGTGAGGTCAGCATGGTGTGAGGTACCGCTCATGCACCCTCCCTGGGTTACTTCCTACCACATTTCCAGGCATTGTAGTCCATTGACGATCAGGGTTCCTGGGCTCCTCAGTGTGGGTGATTCCCTGCAGCTCTGTTGGCTGCCGCCCTCCAGTCAGGCTCTCAGGGTCTCCAGTTCCCACAGGCAAAGGCTGTGATGGCTCTTTGGCTGGAGCCTCCACCCAAGGTCCTTCCTCTCCAGTTGTCAACCTAGAATAAGCTGGGCTGCTCCTTTTTATACTGAGGCAATAGTTGGAGCATGCCCAGTATGGTCTGAGGGGCGGGACTTCCACCACTCATAGTGTGAGGTTAACCTCCTCTTGTTCAGTGCAGGGTAGGCCCACCTCCCGGGTTTTTCAATACGACAACGTCAAAGATGATTAGATTAACGATAGGATTCCAATTCCACACACGTATCACCCAGTTCTTGCTATATTTCTTTCTTTTTGTCCCATAAACATGTCTTAATTGCATTTCATTTGCTTGAGGATATAAACAGATTGTGGTAAACCTTTCTTTTACAAGAGTGCCTTTCTTACTTGCTTCCTGTCGCTCTAGTGCAGCTACCCAGCTATATAACATAGCAAAGATATAGCTGTTTTCTTCTGGAGTTTTTTTTCTGTACTTTAGCTCCTGTACAAATTTATTTCAGACAACTGCAAAACAACTGGATGGCTTGTTGTATTATTGCTGACATGTCTCCGTTATTCTAGATCACTGAAAACTAACATGCATAAGTAGGGTGGTGGTGGAATATTTTAAGCTTCGACTTACAGGCTTCACTGGCAAAAGAGCAGAGTTCTAATCATTTCTTGCTTTCAGTGGCTAACAATGGAGCATTTAATTAGCTACACCGACAAGGGATGAAAGTTGCTAATAATTCCGACCCCAGGAGTGAAAATTACTTAACAAGATTTTTTTTTTTAAATGTGTAAAGAATCCCAGAAATGAGCTTCTTCTGGGTGCTCTTGCAGACAAATGGCTCATCTTGCAGAGACAGAAATCCTACTTGCCTCCAAAGATTGAAAACTGGTATAACAACTTATCAGAAATGGCAGCACTGAAAGACTCATGTGCAAACGACAGCAAGAAATCAAAAGCTTTCAGGAAATAGGGTCTTTGTTTCTTTTGCTTACAGATTTTTTTTAGACAGACAATTTTCCATTTTTTTTACATAAATATCATATGACATACAAAAATATCCTAAGTATTATTTTTTAGTAAATATGTGTATCTGCATGTTAGTAAAAAGAAAAGGAGTACTTGTGGCACCTTAGAGACTAACCAATTTATTTGAGCATAAGCTTTCGTGAGCTACAGCTCACTTCATCGGATCCGATGAATTGAGTTATAGCTCACGAAAGTTTATGCTCAAATAAATTGGTTAGTCTCTAAGGTGCCACAAGTACTCCTTTCCTTTTTGCGAATACAGACTAACACGGCTGTTACTCTGAAACCTGCATGTTAGTAAATTTTCAATCAAATCTCCTGCTCTATTTGGGGTTCTAGTAGGCCGTTCCAAAACTTTCCAGCTTGAATCTTGAGAATGACAGGGAAAATCTCTAATTCTATTCTGAAATAAAGAATTTATATGCAGTATATAATCTATATGTTGTGGACAAGATTATCAAAGTTATGTGTATGTCAATATGAGCATACATTTGTACACTTGTTTACACAAGCAATACCTGATGTGTGTGCAAATTAGATATTTACATATTGTAGCGAGGTGGTCACCCGCTCCCTGGTCTGGAAAGGGTTACAGCCAGTCCTGGGAGAGGGCTGGAGCTGTGGGCTAAAAGCTAGGCTGATTGGGGAAGAAGCCACAGTTGGGCCACATCCCAATCAGATCTCAGCTAGCCCTGATAAAAGGGCTATGAGCCAGGAGCTAGACAGGACTCTCCCTCCAGCTTCAGAGGGAGAAGGACCTAGTTGTCTGGGGGGCGGGGCGAGGCGAGGCGAGGCGAGGCGAGGCGAGGCGAGGCGAGGCAAGGCGACGCGACGCAACGCAACGCAACTTCCGCCTGGCAACTTCCGCCTGGCAACTTCCCAGGCTGCAGGCCTTGTCAAAGGCTGAACCAGGTACTGGGGTTGCAGGTCCAAATCCCCCTTTGCCAATGATGAATGGCTTGTACACAGGGAGTGGGGGCTAGATGGTGACTGGCAGTAGCCATAGACTGAGGCAAGGTGGGGATAGAGGGCTGGGGGTTCTCTGGGGAGCGGAGACCCAGAGCTGTGGGGTTACTGCAGGGGCAGAACCTTGCTGTAGGGGGCACCGGGGTCTGGGAGGGACATGGAGGCCAGTGGCAGGCAAGACACTCGCATGCAGAGGGCACTCTGGGGCAGCAGAACTAATTCCCAGGATGACTGACAGGAGGCGCTGAGCCACTGAGTCATTGCGCTTGCTGCACATATGCACAAGGCCAGGTAAGTGCCTAATTGTTATGTGCCTACAAGGACACCTGATTTGCATGCAAATACCTGACAAATATATGCATAAATAAGGCACCAGACAACTGTCCCAGCTCTCACCTCCTCCTTGGTCTTTTGGCTTCTTCCTTTGTGTTTGCCTGCCACTAGCCTGAAAACAACATAATTCACTGGGTGAGATCCTTTGGCAAGACTGAGAGGAGATGTAGGTTCCAGAAACCCTTTACCACCAATTTGTAGATGTTCTCTCTTCTCCAGGAACACCTGTGTAAAAATTATCCAGAAAACAGTAATTTAAACAAAAACAAAGTTTATTAAAAACAGAGAAAAAGTAATTAAAAGACAAGAAACTGTTCTCTTAACACATGTAGATCTATACCTCTCAAACTAAGGTAGATGAGGCTTCTTCAGCTTAGATACACTGAACAAAGAAAAGTGGAAAACTTACATCTTATGAAGCCAATCCTTTCATCAGCCTGTCACCAATTCTTGCTGTCCAGATATCAACTACTTTGCTGTCTCCAGAGATTAATTTTATCCAGCCATAAATACTTTATCCGGCCATAAATTTGTATGATCATGCAATTTGATCCTGTTGGATCAAATTGCATGATCATACAAATCTTTCACCTGATGATCATCCCTCTCTCAGATGTTAGAGCCCATTACCCACCAGGATGAGCTTTCATTCACATTTACACAAAGAGTCCTTAATAAGAAGTTTTGTTTGGGTGAAGGCCATATGACTAATTTCTCCAAACTAACTCTAGCCATTTCTTCTAATCGTCCTGTCTCCAAAGTTGCTATGTCAAAAGCCCTAATGACTACCATTATGTGATCATTTTTAGAAAGTTATTTTCTGCTGAATGTTTCAGGGCTGGGTTATTTGGTTTTGCTTGGGGATCTGCATAGAGCAATGGCAATCAGAGATTTGGCATTTCCTGTCTTGTGAGTTCTCAGCTTTCTAGCTAATGAGTTTGCACATGTTAGCATGTAGTATGGAAAGAACTGTGTGGAATATGTGTTAAGAGGATTGAAAATAAATAAACCAGTACCAATTTTAGTACAACTAATGCTGTAAGTGTTGAAAAACTCTATTACATACTTCCTTGATAAAGGAGTACATTTGCTAAGTACCTAAGCTTTCTCCTTAAGAGATCTCTTCTGTAATTTCGTCCATCCATTACCAAACTGAAAAGACACATAACCAAAAACAACATGTACTGTTGGTTTTTGCTTTGGTTCAGGGAATCTTGCGTTGATGTTAACTGTCACTGAGAACAGCAGATGGTAATTTTCCAAGGGAAACAAGCAGCTACTGGGCCAGCCATTCCTTATCCCTGAGAAGCATTGTGCAGGGAGTATTATAAATGGTGCGGCCTGCCTCATTTGTCCTTGCTTAAGATGACATTGTCATTCAAGACTACACTGTGAGTGTAAATGACGGTCTAATGTCACTTCTATAATTACTTGGCACCCTGTAATAAACTTTAATCTCACTGGGTCAATAACTGTTCTCAGCTTGACATTCAATAAACAAGAGTTTGAATTTTTTTTTTCTTTCCCCAGTGCATTTGCTGAATGTTTGGGTTGGAGTTCAGGATCAGGATAAAAAAAACAAAACCCTGCATGTGGTTTGAAAATATTCAAGGCGGTATCCATGACTATTACATTGATTTATGAAGTACCTGCTCTGAGAAAATCATATTGAGCATAAGTAAATGGAATGCTGAATTCTGCCCTAGGGCCCAAACCAGTCCTCAAGAGTTTTGCCCATATCACAACCCAAAACAAGTGAGGCACTCTAAACAGTGAGCTCCATGGCGCTGCACCATGCTTAAGAACTCATAGCAAATATTGTGATCGGGTCTCTTCTAGATGGAGGAAGAAGACTATGCAATATTTTTTGAGCATACCATAAACTGAATAGTTTGTAGGTGTGACAGGGAAGGGTTAAAAATCAACTTTTAAGAATGCACAGTAGCATTTGGTGCACACTCGTAAATCCCTGGGTGAAGATGGCTTAGCAGTATCCATGGAAGCAGGATGCTGAAAAATCTTTCATACTTACCAATGGCATTACCTTAGCATCATGCAAATCCATAGAATGGTAGAAATGTAGGACTGGAAAGGACCATGATAGGCTCAGTTTCCTGCACTGAGGCAGGACTAAGTATTATCTAGACCACCCCGATAAGTGTTTGTCTAAGTTGTTCTTAAAAACTTCCAGTTACAGAGTTTCCAAAACCCTGCTAGGTAATTTGTTCCAGTGCTTAACTACCTTTACAGTTAGGAAGTTTTCCCTAACATCTAACTTAAATTTCCCTTGCTGCAATTTAAGCCCATTACTTCTTGACCTATTCTCAGTGGATAAGGATGACAATTTATCCTCTTCTTTATAACATTTTTTTTCATACTTGAAGACTATGTCCCCCCTCAGTCTTCTCTTCTCCAGACTCAACAACCCAGTTAATTGAACCTTTCCTTGTTAGTCATGTTTTCTAGACCTTTAATCATTTTTGTTGTTCTCTTCTGGACTTTCTCCATTTTGTCCACATCTTTCCCAAAGGCTGGTGCCCAGAACTGGACTCAATAATCTGAGGCCTTATCAGTGATGAGTAGAGGCAAAGAACTATTTCTTGTGTCTTGCTTACAAGACTCCTACTGATTTTATTTTTTATATAATATATATAGTGATGCAGCAGGAGAATGTTAGAAGGGAGCCTTATTCCCTGTAGAGGGAAGAAAGTTTGCTATAGATTAATTTAAAGCACCTGAAACCAGACACATGATAAAAATTCCTGCTTCAATCAGACAAGAGGAGTCGAAGCAGAGTGGATTGGTGTTGGAGCAGAGAGCAGTTTGGAGGAGTCAAAGCAGAGTGGATGGCTTTGGAGCAAAGAGCAGTTTGGAGGGAAGCAGAGGAGAGTTCGGAGAAGTGCTGCGGTGGGCTAAAAAGACCAAGACCCTAGGTAAAGGGACACCTGGTTTGTGCAGAGGGAGGGCAGGAAGCCCCACAAGCTGAAGGGCAGGAGAGAGAAGTAGCCCAGGGGAAGGAACCGCTAGTTCTAGTGGTTTATCACTATCCCTAGGGCCCCTGGGCTGGGACCCGGAGTAGAGGGCCGGCCTGGGTCCCTCCCTCTCCACTCCCCTCCTCTAGGACATTAGTGGGGCAGTTAATACCCCAGTTCAGGGTCAATAAACAATGCTCTGACACACACACCCCCCAAGAAGAGAAAGTGCGAGACCCATCATAGTAGTGCCGGCAATTTGCCTATATATATATATATATATATTTTGCAAGAGTACTACATTACATTATTGACTTATTTAGTTTGTAATCTTTTATAACCCCCAAGGTCTTTTCCTGCAGTACTCAATCCGAGGCAGCCATTTCCCATTTTCTATTTGTCCAGTGGATTATTCCTTCCTAAGTGTAGTACTTTGCATTTACCCTTATTGATTTTAATCCTATTTATTTCAGACTTTCTCCACTTTTTCAATATCAGTTTGAATTTGAATCCTGTCCTCCAAAGCACCTACAACCACTCTCAGCATCATATCATCCTCAAAATTTATAAGTGTACTCTTTATACCATTATCCAAATCATTTGTGAAGATAGTGAACAGAACTGGACCCAGGAGAGATCCTTGTAGGACCCCCATGCAATATGCCCTTCCAATGTGATTGTGAATCTGATGAAGTGAGCTGTAGCTCACGAAAGCTCATGCTCAAATAAATTGGTTAGTCTCTAAGGTGCCACAAGTACTCCTTTTCTTTTTGTGAATTATTGATTACTGTACTTTCTGAGTAAAGTTTTTCAACCAGTTGTGCACCATCTAATGGTTGGTTCATCTAGGCTATGTTTCCCTAGTTAGCTCATGAGACAGTATCACTGAATGCATCCAATGAAGTGAGCTGTAGCTCACGAAAACTTATGCTCAAATAAATTTGTTAGTCTCTAAGGTGCCACAAGTACACCTTTTCTTTTTGTGAATACAGACTAACACGGCTGCTACTCTGAAAAGTATCAAAACCGTTACTAAAGTTGAGATATATCACATCAACTGCTTCCCCTCTATCCACAAGACTTCTTACCCTGTCAAAGAAAGATATTAGGTTGGTTTGACAAGACTTTTTCTTGACAAATCCACAGCAACTGTTACTTATCTTCTTATTATCTTCTACATGCTTACAAACGGATTGTTTATTTGCTCATTTTTTTTATTGGGTACCAAACTTAAGCCTACTGATCTATCATTCCATTCTAGAAACCACTCTCTTAGTTTGAAATATATAGTATGGCTTTATGATTAAGAGAACTGCTCACTCCCAAGGGAATGGCAGCAGAGAAGACACCCTTCAGGTGGTGAGGTGAGATCTCAGCTGGGTGATCAATGTTCCATGTGCTCTCTCTCTCTGCACCCACCCTCCCCCCCCTTCATCTTTGATGGGTGTAGTCTGCTGCTTCACACCCCATGTTCTTCCTTGTCCTGCACTGGTGTGGTGGAGGAGAATGGGGAGGGATCACATAGTGTTGCCAGGTGTCTGTGTTTTGACCAGAAAGTCCAGTTTTAAAGGGGACCTCTACAGTCTCTGGTCAGAAGTATTAACCAGACACCAAAAGTCTGGCTACCACAATTCCATTGTTCCCCCCCTCCCCCAGCCAGCCCAAGGCCACTTTCATCCCCGAGCACTGGTCCCAGAGCTGGGGAGGGGCAGAACTGGAGGAACCCCAGCTGCTAGTCCTGGCTGGGCTGGGGAGGGATGCTTCCTCTACTACTGCACTGGCTGCTTCTGGGGCTGGGTCTTACGCTCATCTCCAGGAGCCTCTTCTGGCTGCAGGAAGCTCCCCCCCACTTCCTGCCCCCCTCACTCCCTGCAAATGCTTTGCCTTGGAGTCACTGCTGGATGGAGCAGCAGAGACACAGTCCCCTTCAGCCTCAAATTTTGATTATAGCTAAGGGTCCGGTTTTGAGAAATTGAAAAGTTGGTAACCCTATTTGGGACTAGGCTCTAGGGCTTGTCCTGCCCACTGCTGCTGCCATTGGGTGCTGCAGAGCCGGGTGTTTGGCTCCCAGGTTTTGGGGTGGGGGTTGATATAATTTGTATCTCAGGTTGGTAGCCACTGCACACTTTCTGTTTCTGTCTACTGCGTATAGGGGTGACATTGGTATGGTTAATTTTAAATGACTTCTCAGAGCAGAATGATCTCCTCATATGCTTATTCTGCTCCTTCCTACTATCTCCTTTTCTGGACAGATTGTATCTTTTTGACTGAAACAAAACAGACCCTACAGATATGACACTGGCTTTCTTTTCTTTTACATCACCCTCCACCATCTTCTACTGGCATCACGGGAAAAGGCTTCGTGGCTGCTGAATTTAAGGAAACTAGTGTTCCCCAGTCCCTACTCTACAATCAAAGCTTGAAGCCAGAGATGCAATGCCAGCTGTACTACTCATTCCTTGTTGCTTGCCTCAGGCCAATTCTGGCATGAAGATGTGTGGTAATAACTGAAATGGCAGTGTGGAGAAGCAGAAACCTGAGATGACAAATCTTTCAGTGAGCTTTCTTTGCAAACAGGAAATAGTCCCTAACATAGACTTCTTACCACTTACATTAGCAGCAGTAACTATGTAGGGAGTAAATTGCTGGGGACTGGACGTGATGGACTTTTCAACTGGAATGTATTAGTTCATATTGTGCTCAAATACGCAAGGAACAAAAGCTGTCCTTATCTAATAGTTATTCAATGCTCTATGTAAAATTAATTGGTAGTTTCTGTCTAGTCTCTGGAAGAAAAGTGTTCAGATCTCATAAAAGACCATCACCACTGGCACCTTTCTGATAGCTTAAGCAGAAGGACCAATGATTAAAGTATATCAAGTAGCATAAGATCATTGACTACTTTTTTTAAATCAGAAAACTATCAGTATTTCTAAATATAAATTTTGCAATATTAGTCTCCATTCAATCTTATTTTTACTTTTCCATGCATTGGAAATTGCAAGATTTGGATTCCAAAGCTTCCTGGAATCATTGTAAAATTGATGCATCAATTTGGTTCATCATGGTAGGGTAGCTCGCCTCATTGTTAGTTTATAAAGAAAGAAACTGAGAGGATGTAGCCTGAAAAGCAAATTAAGTGGTAGCCTGAATCTGGAGCTCCTGATTGCTCAACCAATGATAGGTGGTTTTTGTTTGTTTTTCAGTTTCTGCTTGAAAGAAAAAGTTAATACACCATCCTCCAGGGAGAGATGATTCAGACCTTTCTTTATTGAAAAATCTTTTGCCAAAAGTTCTGAATCTAGATGTAAAAGAATATCCTGTCTATCTGGAAAAAGGCTAACACATTCCTATGATGAAAACCCATGAAAACTTCCAGGGAGGAAACACCATCATATCTCTGTCTGATCAGAAAGATAGAGACAGAATTTTGGTTGTTGATCATACTCAAAAAGAAACAGAATTTATAGGGGCCAAACTGTTGTCTTCCCCAGATACCAGCCCAACCACAAAGGGAAAGAGAGGGGACTTTGTTTTTGGGAAAAATAATTTTGTGGAAACACATTTCTTATGCAAAACTCAATCACTTTTTAATGGAAAAATCACATCAATCCTGGTATTAAATCTCCAAGGACCCAGTTTAGCATGTTAATGAACAGGTACTTAACAAGCATGCCTAACTTCAAGCATATTAAGAGTAGCCCTTTGAAGATAATGTTTCCCTCTTCAGGTGAGCACCCAGACATTGGTGAATTGAAGTACAATAATTCAAATGACACAGGATTTTTTGCATATGATATTAATCTTCCCCTTCTTTGACACACTCCTCTATGGTCTCCCCTAGCTAGGAAAGACCCCTTATTCTATGGTTTGACATGATTTGCTCTTGACAAATCCATATTGACAGTTATTTATCACCTTATTATCTTCTGGGTGCTTTCAAATTGATTGTTTGATTATTTCTTCCATTATCTTACTGGGTACCAAAGTTAAGATGAGTGGTCTATAATTCCATACCAGACACCACTATCTTAACAGTCTGAAATATGTAGTATGGATTTAATGTTTGGATGATTACTTGAACAAGGCAAGAGAATTGTTGATCTTCAATACACATTAAAGGAATTTTCAAAAAGAAAAGTAAGTTTTTATTCAAAAAATAAAGAAGGTACTGGACCAGATTCTAATTTCACTCACAGTGGAATAAATCCAAATAACTCCACTGAAGACCACACACACACACACACACACAACTGGAATGAGGCCTACAGCGTAGAAAGAATTACATGGACTTTGTAAAGTGCAAGAAAGGGATTTTGCAGAAAATCCCATAGGCCTGATCCTGACAATTGTTGAGCTCCTACAACTCACATCGAAGTTAATTGGAGGTACCAGGTTTATCAGCATGAGATGTTCAGCAGTTTGCATGATTTAGCAGTAAGGGCCAGATTCCACCATCCTGGGACTAACGTAGCAGGTGTCTGGATAACAGAACTGGCCATAAGTGACTTATTGAATTCCAAGTGATTATAAGTCATTTTGTTATCTAACAAAATTGTTCACAAACTTATTTCCCCAGTCTGATTCACGTACTTTATCAGTCTGATTCACATTTTTCTAACCCATTGCAGCATTTTCCCTCTGTTGGTCAGCCATGATCAACAGAAATTTAAGACTTGAAGGCATTATTCTTCAGGTCTCCACTCACTATGCAATAACAACAAAAAAGCCCAATTCATATGCTCTCTTGGTTTTACTTTGATGTAGCAAACCTGAGAAGGCTGAGAAGTTTAGTCTGGTTCATTCTAATATCTGAATCCTTTACCAAAGTTTGTTGGAAAAACCCAGACTAGTTCTACAAATTATGTTGGAAATTTGTAGAACTTGTAGAATAAGAACAGTTTTTTCACAATCTCTAGTACCTTCTGATTTTGGTCAGGTGGAAATACTGCAAGGACAGCCTTTCTCTCTCAGTATTTCTGACACTGGTAAGATGAGTATCAAGGCAGAAAGGACAGACACATAAAATAAGATAAAATTCATACCTCTTTTGTACGGCTTTTCATCAGTAGATCTCAAAGCACTTTATAAAGGAGGTCAATCTCATTATTCCCATTTTACAGATAGGGAAACTGAGGTACAGGGAGAGGAAGTGTCTTGCTGAAGGTCACCCACCAAAGCAGTGCTGGGAATTGAAACCAAGTCTCCTAAGTCCCAGTCCAGTACCTTATCCTGTAGGCCATAAAAACAAAGACAACAAAAAAGGTAAAGGAATTTATTTGAGAAAAACATTAATTTGGGCCCCAAGAAAAATATCAGTTATTTCTTATTTTACAAAAGACAGGCTTGAATCAAAACCCCTAACAACAAATAGTGCCAATGTCCCACCTGTGGTCAAAATCCAAATCCAGGCTTTATATATGGCCTCTATTTTAATAATGAAAAGACTCAACTCATCTTCTGAACATACCCACACTTTGGGGTGTTCAAAATCCAGATCAGGATGCATATCTCACATCTCTTTTTATTAGTTAAATAATTATCTGCCTCTCTGCTTTAATGCTACCAAATTACTCTCACCTTGGATATTGAGTTGGACTGAGTTTCCGTTACCAGACTATTGATCCAGAAGGGAGTTTTAGGTAGGTTTTTTTGAGTGAAATTTTTGAGGTATCAGTTAAACAGTGCTGGCATCAAGTAGTAAGATTTATCTAATTTCAATCATTGGGGTTAGTGTGCGGGTGCTGGGTGGTGTTGGTGGCCTGTGACATACAGAAGGCCGAAATAGATGATCTCTTGGTCCATTCTGGCCTTGAATTCTATGACTCTTCTTAGCTCTATAGAGCTTTTGGGCTAAGGATCCCAATATACTTGTACAACAATTAATGAAATAAATTGCCTAATATACTGGTGTCTGTAGGTAAGTGGTGTTATACCCATTTTACCTCTGAATAAACTGAATTACAGATTGGTTAGATGACTCTGGTAAGGTCGTGACACCTTTGTCCTTACAAATGTCTACCAGTTATTCTTTTATCTTAAAGATTCTGATTCAGCTTTGCTTACAGTATTTCATTTACCTCAGAGACATCTGTTAACAGAGATGGACTTGAATACAAATTAAAATTTTGTTCACTAATCTTTCCAAACAATTCTGTAATATTTTAAAGCGCACATGAAACTTGTCTGCCAAAAAAGTTTAGGACCTGATCTAAAGCAAACTGAAGTCAATGGGAGTCTTTCTACCAACTGCAGTGAGTTTTCGATTAGGCCTTTAGATTACTACTTATTGTTCATAATACTTCACAGCTATAGACGTGTATTCACTAAATAATTTTGGAAACTTTTTCCATCCATCCAAGCCTGGTACTGTTTTGGTTTCTTAACTGCCCTGTATTCATTTCAGCTGAAGGCCCTATCTCAGGGAATATAACAGAGATGGGCATCAGCCATTTCTCGAGATCTGGAAATTGCAGCTCTGGAGCCAGTCTTCAGAACTGAGCAAATCCTGGATGCAATTGGGCAGAAAGTTCAAATCTGGATAAGGACTGAGAGCTGAACTTTTCCGTATGGGTTCCTCTCTGCAAATTTCAAATAATTAGATGAATTTAAGCAAGTGAAAATGTAGGCTAAATTACCAGGAAATACTTCCTTGGGACGTCTGATAGATTGTGCAACAGCATCCCAAAAGCAGGGCTGGAAACCCTGTAATCTGAATAATTCAAAACTAAATTCAACAAAACAGTGAGGAACATTTCACTAAGGCTGTTTAAAAGACTCACATTATCATAATAGTAGTGTTATCTCCCACAATTCCTTGAATGATGTGACCAGGTGATAAACTCAGCTTTTGTGTAAAATAAAAATGTTCCAGCTCTCAGAGCTGTGGGGGGAAAAAAAAGCTTGAACATGTAAACCCTAAAGGCTTAAAAACCAGAATGCAAATAATAACTCCATGTTTATCTTTTTTTTTTTTTTAAGACTCATGGCTTTTAAGCCAATCTCACGATATTTGGGGGCTTTAGATGATTTTAGAACGTTTACGGTTGGCAGTAGCATTGTAGTAGCTGCATTAGCTTTTCCACAAGTACCGTTACAATTCCATTTTATTCTGCAGCAGTTCTTATACTGCCCTTGTCACCATGGTACCTGAGAACTTTCCAATATTGCATTAAGTGACATGACTAATATCTATCACGTGTGGCTCACTCTTTCTTACAGCCTCTCCCCAGGAAGTGAATTGTGTGTGCAGTACAGTGTTGATATTGGTAGGTTTTTGTTGTTTTTGTAGGGGTGGTGGTAGTTAATGTGTGTGTGTGTGTGTGTGTCTGTGTATGTGTACACACATGTATACAGGCATCTTACTTTTAAACCATCCTAGTGGTACCATAGGTAAAATTGTGAATTGAACTGGGGTGACTGGGGATATGGATAAGATGGCTTAATAGTTCCTCCCCCCTTCTCTAATTTCTGTGACTTAATTTGCAATTTTATGTTTGCTCTGTAACCATGCATTAAATGAGTAAGTGGGGATACTCTCTCCTGTGTAAATTTTTGTAGAGTGAGCTCTGCTGATAATATTTTGCACATTTGAAGGAATGGCTGAGGCTAGTGACATCCCCAGAGGGGATGGAGCTCCTGGGGGTCATTGTTCAAGGTGACAGTTAGACAGTGGATCTCAAGAGAGGGAGATCTGGGAATGGTGGCAGGGAACAAGGAATCAAGGCATTCAGACAGAAGATCTGTCTAAACTTGCCTGGAGAGCTGGGCTGACTGAAGAAGGTTAGTAGATCTCTGAGGAATTAAAAGAAAAAGGCTGAAGAGAGCTCAGTGTGGTGTCCTGAGCCTCTGAAGCTCCCAGCACAGGTAGATTGTATTGGATTTTCGAGGGGAGAGAATCCTCAGAGAAAATGAGGGACGTGCAAAACCGTCCCAAGTAACCCAGTAGCAAGGGTTTCTGCTTGTTCTGTTGCAAAATGAATTGTTAAGTTCACTGTCTACATGAGCTATATGACTCCAGACACAGTAAGGTCATGGCACAATACATGTATATATTTGTAGAGGATTAAGAAGCTCAAGATTGACTGACATGATAAGATGAGCAGTTTCTGTGAATGAAACTATTCCTTTAATGTTTCCAATTCCATGTTATGTTATGTTTGTTCTGAGCGTAATAAACAAAATCTGTTATTTTCACTAATTCTAAGGCTAATCATCATATGTGTTACTAAGTTATTTAGACAATTAACTGCTGTGTCTCGAAGTGATGCCACATAATAATTACCACATGCTAGAGTGTATCTCTGTGTTTTCCAGTCCCCGGGGAGGAAAGACTAAAACTTTTTACCTCTAGACTCTTTAAAATTTTAAGTCTCAAAGAGACAGGGAGCGAATATTGGATGATGGCAGCAATGGTACCAGACAGAGCGTCACCAAGTCTATTCATGTAAATGTGGCAGCTGTTCAAAAAAGGGGGAGAAAGTCATCACATACTATACTCGAATAGGACTCGCTTGTTGAGTTGTGTTGGTTTGGTTCTCAAACTGGGAGTCATGACCAGGTTTTAGAAGCTTACGACTAGGCTGGCTGGCAGACAAGTATCCCATTTCTCAATCGAGATCTTTTAAACTCTTTTTTTTTGTTTTTTGGGTCAGAACTGGGTGTACATAACAGACACTAGAATAGACAAGTGTTTGCTCTGCCTGAGTCAGAGCAGGGACTTAAACCTGGTTTGCCCACATGCCAGGCAAAGGCCCTAACCACCAGGTTATAGCATCAGTTTTCCTTTGTGTCTTGTTCAAACCAGAAATTTCACTCTGGACCCGAGAAATTTTCCCAATGAAGATTTCATCGAAACCCGTATGTTTCTGTGAGAAGTGTGGTTTTGACAAATCAATGATTGATGGAAAAACATTTCATCAAAAAATTCCTGACCAGCTCAAGTTGTGACGTCTGTTCCTTTTATGTCTGGAAGGTGGGGTGAGGAGAACCCAAAACTTTTCTTCTGTTCTAACATGGGGACACAGTATGGAAAAAGGTGAACAAAATTGCAATTGCACCTTCCATTTGAGGATCTCAAAGCAAAACACTCTACAAATACTTATGCATTAAGCCTTACTGCGTCTCTTTGGGTACGTCTATGCTGCAATTAGACACCCACAGCTGGCCTGCACCAGCTGATAGAGGCTAAGGGGCTTGGGCTAAGGGGCTAAAACTTTAATTGCACGGTGGACATTTGGATTCAGGCTGCAGCCCAAGCTCTGGGACCCTCCTACCTTGTAGGGTCTGGGTTCCATCACAAGCCCAACTATCGACACTAAAATTAAACAGTCCCTTATCCTGAGCCCTGTGAGATGGAGTCAGCTGGCATGAGACAGCCCAGGTTTTAATTGCAGTGGTCACATACCCTTTGAGGCCCAGTCTAGTGATTTTACCACCTGTGTCATCTAATGTTAGATTAAGAACAAGAGAATCTGTAAACCATATTTTAATTTTTACCTTCACTTGCACCTATGTTGGGATCTTCATGAAATGAGAAATTTTCATCCCCCAAAAAACAAAAGCTTAGCTTGTACCTCCAACAAAGAAGCTTGAAGTCTAATGTGATTTTGTGCACACTGCTGTAAGGAAAAGGCATATTGTACCAGATTTGCTCAGCTCCCACCTACAGCTCCATTACTTTAAGTATTTTCAGAAATGTAACCTGCACCTGGTTTGAAAATGTCATCCCAGTATGGGATCAATTTTTAGTGTAGTGTGCAGGGATATAACCATTCCACTCTCATTATTTCACTGCATTTTGAATGTACTCTAGTATTATTCTGCACCAGTGAAATATTCCTTGATTACCTTCCAATTACTACTTTCCCAGCAACTCAAGGCTTTCTTTTTTACCTTCCTTCAGATTCTTCCATTCTGATTTTTTTTACACATGAACTAAGAGAAGAATACAAAGTCCTCTGCCAAGCTGCTTGCCCCTTCTTCCCCTTTTCTCCTCTCAGTCCTACCAGAGCTTTCTCTTTCCCCCCAAACATTTCCCCCCATGATTCATGACCTCCTTTCACTGCGCACACAGACATCTTGAATGATCCTTTGCCCAAATGATGGACAGAACCCTGAATAAAGCCTGTTGTTCAAATGACGGGAACATTTTGGGAAATGAATCTGTGTATTATTGGAGAGGTCAAATTGTCTGTTTCACCTCTACCCATACTACAAATGTTCTTTAAATT